ATTTATGTTGTAGCTAATGAACTAACGTACCGAACAAACTTATTATTGATTTGTGCATGGTGAAATCATGGATTTTATTGATCTTTTCTGATCGATAGAACGGAAATGGGCGATTACGACGAAGTAGTGCTCTACCCTATTTCTTCACTTTCCCTTAGTTCGAGATACCAACAATTACGTCTGAGATCTAAACAAATTAGCAATGCCCCAGAGCTTCATAAATTTGTCAATCAAAAGACCTTAACAATTTTTCGAAATGATTACAGTGGAAATCCTAAAAAAATCGAAGCCTCAGAACTTGAGTTTTGGTCAACTTCTATATCTCAAAAGTTTTTGGATGTCCCATGTTCGGCAGTTTGATTAACTTTGTAAGTTTTAGAACCTTGAACCTTTTCATGTCACAAAATCTAGAAAACTTCTCGATTCCTTACTTCGGAATTCTCCTCAGAATTCCGTAAAATTTTACCTCAGAATTTCTTGAAACTATTATCATAATTATCTAGGAAATATTCTCCAGCTATTGGGATTGATCCGGGGTTTCCCAGCATTATCTTTGAAATTCACATCAGAATTCCATGAATTATTAAATTATCTATCTTAGAATTATCTTGATTTTTTTTCCTTGAGAAAATATTTTAGAATTTCCCTAGAACTATTCTGAGCAGTGTTGGCAAAATATCAAAAAATCAAATCTCACCAAAGATCATGCTTGATTTTCGTAGACAACTGCGGTTGATTTTGTAAGCTGTGATATCGCAGCTCGGAATGTCAAGCTAACAAAACTCACTAAATTCAAATCTCACAAAACTGAGATTGAGTTTAATGATTTTTGCTTTACACCCGAATACAACCGAAAATTCAATAACGGCTTGCAGCAGTCCCTTCGCGTCTGCCATTGGTGAAGATTAAAAAGAGATAGCAAACTATGCTTTCTCTTTCCAATAAAACGATCTGCAATGGATTTGCACGTTGTGAATAGTCTCGCAATATCAAAGAAGCTTGTAAAATCAATTTCAATCATGATATTTTGTTCCGCGTGATATTGCGAGCGCATGAGAGCGGAAAAATATCAATTGATTTCTGATTTTTCCAACACTGATTCTGAGAGTTTGATGCGACTCCGAAATCTTTGAAAATTCGCTAAAAAATATCTTTGAATTACTCTAGATTTCCCAGGAATTCTCTTCAAAATCCTCGTTATAGTCTCTTTAGAACTACCATGGCATTTATCTTTATTTCTCCGTACAAATCTTGAAATATTTCTCAAAATTACCTAGAACTCCTCATCAGAATTTCTTTCGAATTGTCCCTAGAATATCTTAAACAGTTGTCCAAGCAACGTTTTTTTTTCTTCTATATCTGAGGATGTGACAACTACGCCTAATTTGATATTTTACAATTTTAGGTATTTGAAATCAAGAAAAGTTCACTAGTGGCCAAGTCTCAAAATCTTGAAAATTTCTCATGTAATCTTAGACAAAATGTTCAGTCCAAAATGTCAATGTTATTCCATGGATCTCTTTTTTTAAAACATTACATGTAATCATAATAAATTTCAAATTCCGAGACCCTTAAAAACTTTTAAAATTCCAGTCTTTTGTAAGTTAAGAATGCAGTGTTCCAGAAATCATTACAAGGATCATTCAAATCAAAACCTTTCATCAACATCAACTAGCAGCAGCATTAATCTCCTTGGAGGAGCAGTCACAATCATCATGCCCATAGTCAGCGAATTCAACGAAATACAATGAGTAACAAACCAAACAATCTGCAACGCGCTTCATCAGCAACATGCGACCGGACGGCGATTCTATTTCACCACATAAAGGGTGATACGGTCAAAATTTGGTCAATATCAACTTGACGTATTTCTTTCAATTTTGCATTTAAAAAACCTGAACACCCCTCATTTTGAAGGTGTGTGTGTGTAGAATGTTGCTCCTATTTTGATTTTGGAATTCACTCTTCAGTTGTCAAAATGCCGTCCAAGCAAGAAGAGCAGCGTATCAAAATTTTGCTCGCGCATCGCGAAAATCCGAGCTACTCGCACGCAAAGTTGGCAAAATCGCTAAAAGTTGCCAAATCAACCGTTACAAATGTAATTAAAGTGTTTGGGGAACGTTTGTCGACAGCCAGGAAGTCTGGATCGGGGGGAAATCGAAAACCGGAAGCCGCTGAGACGACAAAGAGAGTTGCCGGTAGTTTCAAGCGAAACCCTAACCTCTCTCTCCGAGATGCCGCAAATAAGCTGGGTGTATCGTCTACAACCGTGCATCGAGCCAAAAAACGAGCCGGACTATCGACTTACAAGAAGGTAGTGACTCCAAATCGCGATGATAAACAAAATACGACGGCCAAAGCGCGATCCCGGAGGCTGTACACGACGATGCTGACGAAGTTTGACTGCGTGGTAATGGACGACGATACCTACGTCAAAGCCGACTACAAGCAGCTTCCGGGACAGGAGTTTTATACGGCAAAAGGAAGGGGAAAGGTAGCAGATGTTTTCAAGCACATGAAACTGTCAAAGTTCGCAAAGAAATAGCTGGTTTGGCAAGCCATCTGTACCTGTGGCTTGAAAAGCAGCATTTTCATAGCTTCCGGGACTGTCAACCAAGAAATTTACGTGAAAGAGTGTTTGAATAAACGTCTGCTGCCTTTCCTGAAGAAACACGGTTGTTCCGTACTGTTTTGGCCGGATTTGGCATCTTGCCATTACGGTAAAAAGGCCATGGAGTGGTACGCCGCCAACAACGTGCAGGTGGTTCCCAAGGACAAGAACCCTCCCAACACGCCAGAGCTCCGCCCAATTGAGAAATACTGGGCTATTGTCAAGCGGAACCTAAAGAAGACCAAAAAAACTGCTAAGGGCGAGCAGCAGTTCAAGGCAAACTGGCTTTCTGCGGCGAAGAAGGTGGACAAGGTGGCTGTACAAAATCTGATGGCAGGGGTCAAGCGTAAGGCCCGGCAATTCGGATTTGGAAAAGCGGAAGCCTAACTGAATATTTTTCCTGAATTTTATACTAATTGAACTTGAAAAAGAAATTTAATTTGATTTTTTAAATAAACGATTTCACCGATTTACACGCGTTTTCCCTTGACCAAATTTTGACCGTATCACTCTTTAGCTAACACGCGTTTCTCCAGTGAGGCCTCTGTAACTTCTGGCAAATAAATTTAAATTCATTATTGTGTTGGAGAGGTTTTAACTTGTATACTAGTTTATTTGAATTATGGAACCAAATTTAGCAATTTGATGCAGTTTTGCAGTATTCTTTTTAACCTTAAGTAGTAATATATGTAAAACCAGGAAAACGATGATTTCCTAATGTAAAACAAATGGCATGTACTTCAAATGCAAGTGTGGATTTCTTACTTCCTCTGTATATATTTCTTATGAAAAAATCGAAAAATGTAATGACAGTACTTTCAACGGATTGAACGTACAAGCAAGCTTTTCTAGAATGAACATTGCCGTATAAAACCTTTCCGAGATGATTTTGTACTGGTACTGGAACTAGGGTAACTGACTTTGTTCGACAAGTTAGCTAAGTTAGCATTTCCCGGTTGGGTTTAGGCAAGATTTAAGTCCTATGGAAACATCCATTTATTAGGTTATTCTTAGCTTCAATCTGAACTGGCTAGGCCAATTGAGATTCCGAACTGGAACGATTCGTGTGGCACATGCGAGCGGTCTCACGACCGCTTGTCCCTAACTTTAATTTAATTCAATTAAGTCCCCCGAGACGACAACCAACCATTGTTTTGTGTGTTTCTCTCTCGTGTGTCATAACGCGTGAGTGTCAGCCGCATCCATGTGACCTCTCAACTACGTCAAGTGTATAGCACGGGTACGTGTGTGGAGGGGGGTTAACAATGTTCGTAATATCATCGACGACTTATTCCGAGCTCAATGTTCTGGATTGCGACTGGCGGGTTGGGAATCAATTGTGTGGCGCGACACGCAAGAATGTGCCGGCATTTCTCACATTTTAGCTTCCAGTAGTCCCGGCTTGTTAGGGGTGACGATGCTGGGTTTGAGTGGCTCGTGATTCATTGATAAAGATTGTCTTCCATATATACGAGGTGAAGGTCGGGCAGCAGCATGATTTTGGCGTGATTCAATCAATTTTTGCCTATAAACGGAAGATTGCTTCATTTAAGTTTTAGCATGTAAAAATAAACTTTCCGCTGCGCCAAATGTTAAATAGGATTTGATTCCATCGCAGCACAGAGAGGGAAATGAACCTTATTCACCTGAAATGTCGAAATGGCAAAGGAACAAGTTGGTTTGTTTTTTTTTTCACCAGAGCTATTTGGCTATTTCAATTGCCATTGCGTGATTTTTGTTTACCTCTTGGGTGTTTTCAATCGACGAAAATAGCAACAAAATTGAACCAAAGCCAACAGGAACCTGGCCACGGCGTCGTTGCCGAATGTATAATCCATCATCACTGGTCTAGTCAGATGCAACAGCACGGCAGCGGCGTAAAAAATGCATAAAATGCATACCTCTTTGAGAAGCGGATTTTGTTAATTAGGTATTTTTCAACGGGGGCATTGCGTTAGAGTTATTGAAAGCCTGCGAATATTCAAACGCAGTTTACTTAAATCGGTTGTAAACAAACAATTTGGAATGAACTTTGTAGGTTTACGACCCAGCTTCCGCTTCCTAAATTGCCCAATTTATGAATGTTTATATTTATTCGTGCATTTCTTACGAAAGATCAGAAGCCAATCTATTATTACACCAATTCAATGCTTATTAGCCATAAAGTATTGAATCGTAAGCAGCTCGGTGAGTTCTATTATTATGCAACTGTATATTTCAAGCCCCAATTAGCAAGCCCAGAGAGGCGCCACTTGAACGAATCGATCAGTGGAGGAGCGACTGATAAGCTGTTGTCCCATCATCATCACCAGACTCAACCATATCTCGATGAAGATGACATTCACTAACATCACGTTTCTCGTTCTTCTTTTCCTATCTCAATCAACAGTCACTGGCGCAGACCACGACGCAGGCAGCGGATACCGGAGGTGGCGCTAGAGGTTCACCCTTATCACCCACACGGGATGGAGGAGGCGGTCAGTGCATTTGGTACGGTGTGTGTAACAACGAAACCCTAACCACCTCCCAGTATTGCAACTACAGTGGGCAGGCCAAGCCGGCCGACACTCAAACGAAGAACCTGTTGAAGGTCTGGTGTAAGCATCTGCTCGCCGATGAGGAAGGCATTGGTGCCATCGATACCTGCTGCGATGCGGAACAGGTGAGAATTTCCCTATGATCTAATAGACCAATTATCATCATCATGAGAAACGCAGTCGAAACAATCGCGCAACTGAAACTTATGACGGACCTCCAACTCTATAATTATGAAAAATCACGAATCCGATATCATTTAGTTAGTAGTTGAAAAGTAATTAATCTTAATTTACAAACACCGATTTACCGTGCCCGGTCACGTACAGTTCGTCAACAGTAGTGGGATTAAAACTATCGCAACAACAAGTTAGAAGGCATGAGATGATTTAATCGTACGTTGACGATGGGGTGGCATGAACTGCCTTGACAGTGGAAAGATTCATTTCCGTCGTCTGCTAGCTAGGGCTATGCAACGACTGGGGTGGCATGACGACGACGGTCGGCGGTGTAAACGAACTGAAGCGAAACAATGATGCCGATTATAAGATTTCGAATCTCAGTTGGTAATCTCGTTTCGACTTCAAGTCTGCGGGTTTTTCTAACGTTTCAGGCGCAAGTTCAACGACATGGTGACTGTCAATATTAGTTCGTTCAATACTGCGATTGATGTATATGAATTTGGTTTAAGCTCTAGTACCGTGCAAGGACCATACGTTGAACAGTGCCTAATGGTGGACAGTTCGATGTTTGCTCAATTTACTCTTTGAATCAGCGATTACGATAATGATGATCAGGCTAAGTAGAATATACTCATAAGCATAACAATAGAATATTATCTGACAATATTTATTAAACATTAAACATTAGGCACTGTTGAGCTTATGTGCTTGCACGGTAGTACGTTCAGAAGTACAGTACTGAATTTCATGCCGTTCGACTTCGAATTAAATAAACTCGATGCAAGGCAAACTGTTCTTGAAGTTATTGATGAAAGCGGACCTTTTTCGGTAAATCACACATTGATGCCTGTGTGAGGAGTCTTCTTTAATCAGATAATGCTGTTGGTTTGCGTGGAGGAGTTTTGATTTATAAGAGTCTTTGTTTGGAAAAGTTGATTTGTTGCTGTAGATGACCCCGGTAAGGTGACAGATAACCTTAGTTCCACGTACCCACTTGCAAATAGTAGATGTTGTTTCTCCATGTGTGGATGTTAAACAACATGCAAGCATGCTATATGATAAGATCGAATTTATTATGTTCGTGGTGAAATTAAATAATCCAAACTAATTTAAACCTAATTGAAATTGATGGAGATTCATTTTCTTATATAATCAAATGACAATAAAAATCCTTTTTTTTTTTCTTCTTCTTCTTCTTCTTCTTCTTCTTCTTCTTCTTCTTCTTCGCATTTCAAGCTTATTGCATATCGCATATTAGCTTATTGCGTGCTCTCAACTTAGTGTTCTAGATGCACTTCCACAGTTATGAATTGAGAGCTTTCGATGCCTGTACCATTTTTGCATTGGTATAATTGTGTGGCAAGTACAATCATAAAGGGTGTCCACGATGAAATTGCCACTCACAAAATTGATTCGCAAAATTCGAGTTTTCATCCGATTGCCATCAAATTTTCAGGGATTGAGAAATAACTATTAAACTTCATTTTACCATTTTACTCGTATTTTATTTACAGTCCATGCGCAAATGCCCGCACCTTGGCCTTAACCCCGGCCATAAGATTCTGCACAACCTTTTTTTGCATGTAAACCCATACTTTCTTCAGTTCCTCGACTGTCTTCACTACCTTAGGTCGTTTAAGAAGGTGCTGCTTCATAATCGCCCAGTACTTCTCGATGGGGCGGAGCTCCGGAGTGTTGGGAGGGTTGAACATTTTCGGCACGAAATTGACCTTATTGTCCGCATACCACTTCAGCACGTCCTTGGAGTAGTGGCATGAGGCCAAATCCGGCCAGAAGATTGTTGGGACGTTGTGGGCCTTCAGGAGAGGAAGCAGCCGCTTCTGGAGGCACTCTTTTATGTACACCTGTCCGTTCATCGTGTCCTGGGTCACGAAAGGTGCACTCCGCTTCCCGCACGTGCAGATGGCTTGCTAAACCAGGAATTTCTTCGCAAATTTGGACATCTGCTGAGTGCGGACATGCTCCGGAACGCTGAACTTATCCTTGGCCGTGAAAAACAGGTTGCCGGGGATCTGTTTGAAGTCGGCCTTCACATATGTTTCGTCGTCCATGATGCAGCATTCAGCTTTCGTCAGCATGTTGAGGTACAACTTCCTGGCACGGGTTTTGGCGGACTTGTTCTGCTTCTCGTCGCGATTAGGGGCCTTTTGTACCTTGAACGTTCGAAGCCCAGCCTTAGTTTTGGCCTTCTGGACAAAACTTCGGCTTAGGTGCAGCTTCTTAGCCACATCCCTAACGGAGGCGTTCGGATTTCGGTTGAAGGCCCCAACTACGCGGTTGTGATTTTTGGTGTTGTACGGAATACTTTTTCCTTCACTTCTGGGCTTCCGATCGGTGGTCAACCGTTCCTCGAACCGCTTAATCACTCGCGACACCGTGGAATTCGCGATTCCCAACGTTTTAGCGATGGAACGATGCGAGAGATCCTTGTTCTCGTGATGAATGCGCAAGATTTTATCACGCACGAGCTGTTCTTTCGACTCCATTTCCGCGAGTTTTGATCACAGGACTTTAAAACTTGCAGGATGTAAATAATGCACTATGAACTAAATCCATCCAAATTTTCATTAAATTCTACCCAACGGTTAAAAAGTTAGAGCAATTTCATAGTGTGGCAATTTCATCGTGGACGCCCTTTACTTTTATGCCCAGGGAAGTCGAGAATTTTTCCAACCCGAAAAATTCCTAGACCGGACCGGGAATTGAACCCAGCCACCTCCAGCATGGTCTTGCGCCTTTAACGACTGAGCTAAGAGAGTAAAAATACTTTGCTGTCTTCCTTTTTTATTTTGCTCTTGAATATAATCAGCCTACAAAGTTTTCCTTTTTGATCATAGTGGTGCAATAAAACCTTGCTATGGGCCGTATGAATAAACAAAAGTTTACTTTCCTGTATTTCTCTATTCTTGTGTTCTTGTGTTTTCTTCTGACATGCAAGACTTCTGAAACTAAACTGAAAATACTCATCAATCACCACAAATATTTCGACGTTGGAAGATATTACGAACGGCTTGAAAATAGAATCCGAATGAGCATCTGCAGCATTCATCATCATGTTTTTTGAAACTATCGAGATTTATTTTTAAGCATGATTCTGTTAACAATAATCGCAATATCTTGATAAAATTTTGCATCAATTTTTATTTAAAAACCCGGCTTGAGGAATACGCCAAAAACTTGGAAGCATTAAGAATTCTATCCGCAAAAAGTTACAAAATTGTTTATATGCGATGAGTAGCAGTTTTGCTGGGTGATGAGCAACATTTTGTAGATCCATTTAAAATTGAAGAAACACATAAAATCAAATAAAGGTCTCACAAAAAATTATTCACAATGAGCTTCTGAAACGAATAAATTAAAGTGATAATCTTTTGTTAAACTTGAAGCCTCAAGAAACAGATGAGTCCATTAATTTGTATGTTCTATTGTTTAGTTACACAGTTATGGGCATGGTGATAATGACAACACAAATACCATTAAGAACTCTGACAAATGTAGTGATCATATAAATGAAGTGATTGTTAATCAGAATTTTCTAGAATATCAGCTAAAATTGAGCTCTGGTGATTTTTTCACATGAATAATGGTCACTGATCCGTTGTAGCAAGATATTTAAAATTCAGTCAAATTGAATAATAACTCACATATTTAGCTTAAATGCATTTAAGGCCTTCGACATACGTACAAAGAACACCGTTGTACTAACGTTGTACTCTTTTATGCTAGAACCTCAAATTGTACATTTTACAGTACTACCTGCGAATAATAAGCACACTCTTACTCTTAGCAATCAGTGATGCAAAATATCATAACACTCACGTGACACTCGTCTTCGCATCAACCGACTATCGCTGACAGATCGTTTTGTCAGCAAAACGTTATACTCGCTGCTGATAATAAAAAGCACAACGAAAACAGTGAAGACTTCTGCAGTACGATCATGAGAAAAAGCGAAACGACAGAAGAAAATGAAAACAATGCCTCAAGTTCGTCTCGGCAGGCGTAAGTGTGTGAGTTACAAACACAGCAGGCAACATTAAACGGAAGTTGTTGGGCTCACTCACCAACACACTCACATTAGCAAGCAAAGCAGCAACTGCTTCAAAACCAGCACAGATGAGTGTCGTGATGGTCAGGAATGACCAGATCGGTGATGGATCACAACAGAAGACGACATTCACCAGTTGCTTTTTACTTCTTTCGTCAACTTGATGGATGGTCATGGAGAGAGCTTCGACGAGCACATTGATAGGAATGTACAAAGCGTTACAACCATCAGCTGTTTGATGATCGTGATTGCGATAGGTCGCAACTCTGATAGCAATAGCGTTGAAAACACCGAAAGTATCCTTGTTCAATTCAGCTGGAATAAGGGCGTTACAGCTTTTGTAAACAATGACTTCTTTCGATGATTTCTTAAAAGTCAGATCTCGCCAACGCAAATCAACATTACCACCGGGTAGGGGAAGAGTTCCTCTACCTGATGGTTATGTTGGTTTGCGTAAGCGTGACTTGAATTCCCAGAAATCATCGAGAAAAGTCATTGTTTACAAAAGCTGTTACGCCCTAATTCCAGCTCTATGTAGATTTGTTCCAATTAATTCGATGACAATAATATATTTTTCGTTTTACAAATCAGCTTTTGGTTCTGTACTGCTCAAATACATACGGTACACAATATAAAAAAAAAAAGTTTCATAAACTGATTATGTATTGTGCATACTACTGAAAATCAAAGCGAAATTTTTAGCTGGCATCACTGGAGTTTCTATGTCGCTAACGTCGTGTGTGTGGTTTGGTGAGCGCGCGACAATAAGATAAATTTTAAACTTTAATTTTGTTTACTGTACATTATTTTTGCATTCGCCCTATTCAGATAACACTTCTGAAATTTGTGAGTTTTACAGAACCACCAGCACCAAAC